TTGGACTCCCCTGGCCATCGCCGAAGGGTGCTGGCTGGAGGCGACAGTGGCGGGGGGGGGGAGCTTGCTCGCGCGTCCTAATGTTTACCATGGTGGGGGAGGCTCCACTCCTGATCTGCGCACTGCTCTGCTCCGCGTCGGCGACTTCTATCACACGGTGTGACGACTCCTTGGGCTCGGTCTGGCAGACACCAAGTTGCGTGCTCCAGTGGAGGTGGCTCTAGGAACTTCTGGCTACGTCACCGCCCATGTCCCGGTCCCACCGGATCTGCCCGGGTTAGCATGGCGGGGTGGCGGCCTGGTTTCCTGCTGGCTGGAACGTGCCCTTCTAGGGCAATCGATCCACTTTCCCATAGCCCTAAGGCTGTGTCTCAATCTCCTACGCGAAAACGATAAGATACTGGAGACGGGGTCGCATGGCATGGGTCTTCGACTCTTGGTCTAATTCCACGACGGAGAGTCGGCATGGTGTAAAGTGAAGATTGGAGGAATAGAGCGAAATCCCCGTCTGGGGTATTCCAAAGGTGTAACCTACGCAACGAAAAAGGCAGGGGAGATGGCTGACGGGCTTGGCGATACTATCACGGGAGGATGCTGGATCTGATTAGGCGGCTGGATCTGGGTTGTTGGTTTTAGTTGGTGGTGAGAAGATGGTTTATCTTGCATGTGTCGGTGCATTGGCTTCGTGGGAGGCGGGCGGTCTAGCGGAGCTGCGGTGCGCGCAGGTGTTGGGTTGGGCGGTGCGCCAGACTAAACCTTGTCGGGCTATTGCCGGCGGTCGGTGTCCATGTACTTTGTTTCACTTTCTTTGAGGTGTCGGCGTGGAATCCATCCCTTGCACATCCCCAGATCCAGTTCTTTGGGTGAAAAGCTAATGCCCAGTCAGGTCGGGTGACGGCGTCGACATTGTCGCTTCCTCCTTTGGGGTGTCATATTGAAGACTTAGGATCTCATTCGAACTCTCTATGTGCTAGATGCTCATGGCAGTGCAGTCGGCAGACGCACGACCGACAATGTGGTGGTGTATGTCTAGTTTGGCAATGATGATGATGGCCACCAGTATAGGGTTGTGACAATGCTTTGATTGTCGGATTTTCTCGATGTACTCGACATGTCACTTTTGGGTCTCGCTGTGTCGTTGCTTTGTAGGAGCTGCCCTTGAGGTGCCTAGGTGGTGACCATGATTGGTGGCTAGTGGTCTTCGAGGAGGTGTTGGTTGGCGCAAACTCTGCCCATTTCTCCTGTGTTTCGGTTGTCTTCATAGTCGGAGTTGTCTAGGCGCCTGACTTTTACCGGCGGGCGACTGTTTGGCATGGACCGACATGGATTCTGACATTTGCAGCGATGAGGACTTTATTAGTGGAAGTCGATGGCAAAGACAGAGCCGCTAGCTCATGGAGGAGTGCTGACGATGACGCTTGGTGACGACCTCACCTTTGTTTTTCTTCTCTCCAGGGTTGTTGTGTCTTTATGTGGATGGCCAGATTGACCATTGTTGCTCTATGTGGACTGTTGTAACGGGTTTTTTTCGGTCTTCTATTAATTAATCAAACAACCCTCTTCTTTCCTAATGTCAAAATTCTAAGGGGCCGACATCGAAAAACCGCTACATAGCTATGCACGTGGAATGAGACCCATACTTTCTTGAAAGTCTCTCCGAAGTTTAGCGCTTTTGTTCGTTGTGTGTGTGTACATATATCAGGGCTAGTACTATTTTTAAAGGGAATACCTGTACAAAGGGCATTTGGATTTTCTTGGAGGCAAAAAAACAAATGTAATGGTTTACCCAACTTATCGCAATCAACCAATATCTACATTGATGTATGTACTAAATGACACAATTTTTCTTGCAAAAAGAAAAACTTCTTGTGACTGGGGGCTGGCTGCGAAAACTAAAAATTCTCCTTGTGGAACTCAAATTTGTTGCTCGTCTTCCTCGAGAAATCTTGCACAAGCTGCCACAGCTCCTTGATCAGCACCAACGCGCCGCCAGGTGTGCTTGAGGGTTGATGTCCTTGTAGACGCTGCGCCAGTTCGGACGGGTGAAGTGGGTCTTCATGCGGGCGCCGGAGACGACGTCGATGGCGTGCTTGGAGTGGTTGAGGGACTGAAGAATGGCGACGAGTGCCGACCGGGCGCCCCCTTCCTTGTAGACGCTAGTGTAGTAGTTATGGAGCTCGATGATGCCCTTCTTATCACTCTCGGCCACCTCGTCCATGACGTCGCGGAACTAGTTGAAGGAGCCTTCCTCCCTCGTCACCTAGTAGAAGTAGGTTGTGCCTCGCCTGAAGCACCGTGCCCCTCTGACCAGCCTGGACCCGTGCCTTCGCCGCCGCACGAGGGTAGAAGGAAGCCCCGCCACCACCGACACGGGCCAGGTTGCGCCCGACAGCGCCTTTTGGCGGTGGCGAGGAGGAGGGAGTAGGGATGGGAGCTCGCTAGCCGCTACTCGCGGGAGCGGCGGGCGCAAGATGATAAGGTTTGTCTGCCCTGCTCCTAACTCCTGAGCGGCAACAACCGAATTATGCCACTAAGTACTTGAACTGACAAGACATCTTACATTAGTGAATAGAGGTCGATGTGGTACTTCCCTAAGCACCATGCATTGTACGAGGACTAGGTTGACTCGTAAGTATATGATTTTTTATGAAGAGCATTCGGTTGTGGTGACATACACACCATAATAAGTCTCTATGAAGTTTAGCATTTTTTTCTTTTTGAGACCGACTATACATTTGATATTTTGGGGGGTAATTCAATTTTCCGACCATTAGATTAAGATTTAGCGGTCATCCTTCTTTCTTCTTCCTCTAGCTTTTCTTTGGCCTCCAACCGATTCCTCCTCTCACAAGATCAACTTATTCGAATTGCAAATTCAGTCAACTTACATATAACTATTGTGTTTTTGTTAGTTGTATGTGTACATACACCTGAAGTGCTGATTGTATTTTTCTTTAGAAGGGAATATCTGTACAAGGGGGCATTGGATATTATTCTTCTATAGGCAAAAAAATCGATGAAACTCTTGACCCAGCTTGTCAAAATCAACCAACACCTACTTCGATCTATAGAACTGGGTATGTACTGAATTAACAGAGTTTTTCCTCACGAAAAGAGAAACTTGTTTCTTTTCTTAAAAAAAAAGGAGGAACTTCTTGTGACTGGGCTGGCTGCAAAGTTAGAAATTCTCCTTGTGGAACTCGAATTTGGTGCTCGTCTTCCTCGAGAAATCCTGCGCAAGCTGGCGCAGCTCCTTGATCAGCACCGGCGCGCCGCAGTAGAACACTCCGACACGCTGCCCGGCGTGCTTGAGGGCGATGTCCTTGTAGACTTTGCGCCAGTTGGGCCGGGCGAAGTGGGTCTTGACGCGGGTGCCGGAGACGACGTCGACGCCGTGCTTGGCGTGGTTGAGGGACTGGAGCATGGCGATGAGCGCCGACCGGGCGTCCCCCTCCTCGTAGACGCTGGTGCAGTAGTTATGGAGCTCGATGATGCCCTTCTTGTCGCTCTCGGCCACCTCGTCCATGACGCCGCGGAACCAGTCGAAGGAGCCTTCCTCCCGCGTCACCCAGTAGAAGTAGGCGCGCCGCGTCCGGAACGACGCCGCCGACACGCTCCTGTCGCCGGGGCTGCCGGACTCGATGTCGCCGTCGAGCCGCTTCATGTTGTTGATGATGTCCTTGATGATGGAGATCATGGGCGTGGCCCCGATGCCCAGCCCCACCAGCAGCACCACGTCGTACTGCTTGTAGTCCTGCGCCGGCGCGCCGTACGGCCCGTCGATCAGCACCGTGGGGAAGCTGCTCGGGCTGGGCATGGCGGCGCCGCCGTCACCGGCGTACTCTGCCCGGAGCAGCCCGCTCTTGCCGTCCGTCGGCGGCCGGCAAACCTTCTCGAAGACGCTCTTGAGCTCCCGGGTCCAGTCGCCGAGCGTCCTGATGTGGACGCTGATGTAGTCGTCGTGCGGCGCCGACGTGATGGAGAAGGGGTGCCACTGGAACGGCGAGACGGCGGCGCAGTTGACGAAGATGTACTGCCCGCTCTTGCACCTGAATCCCTGCGGCTTGGAGAAGCGCAGCGACAGCACGTTGCCGGGGTACACGGCCACCTTGAGTATCTTCACCGGCCGCACGCTCGAGCGGAGCGCCCGCGCCAGCCGCTCGCACGCGTACATGACCATCGGCGCCGCCAGGTACATCCACGTCGACTTCTTCTGCCACTTCTTGGTGAGGTAGAGGAAGTGGCCGTGGACGATGAGCAGCGCGTAGACGATGATGAAGAGGTGGTGCGTGTACCAGAAGGCGTTGAACCCGGTGAGCCGGCTGAGCGGCCCCGGCAGGCGGACCCTGCCGCGGCGGAACCACGGCGTGGCGAGCGTGAAGGCGACGGCCATGAGCGCCAGCATCACCAGCCCCGTCCACCCCTCCGTGCCCTTGACGAACCACCAGTAGTTGGGCGGCTTGACGTCGCCGAAGAAGGGCTTCATGGGCTCGTACTCCTCCTCGGTGGCGTGCAGCAGCCGCGGGAAGTCGCACGCCAAATGGGAGATGATGTGCATCCCGGCGCCGACGGTGATCCCCGCGGCGATCACCTTGTGGAAGTTGAGGTTGTCGTCGAACGGCACGACCCGCCCGGCGGCGGTGCGGTTGCGGAGCCACGTGATGGTGTTGCGGCACACGGGGAGGAGCACGAGCGCCATGTTGAACTTGAGCGTCTCGGCGCCGCCCTTGGCGACGCACACGCAGTAGCCCATCACCTCGAACACGGCGCGCCGCCGGTACTGCACGAACTTCCAGGCGAAGAGGCCGGCGCAGATGGAGAACCACAGGATGATCACCCAGCAACGGCGCCAGTTGTCCTCCAGGAAGTAGCTGGCGCGGCGGTACCACCGGCGGAGCGGGTTGGGCTCCGTCGTCGGCTTGAGGTGCTGGCTCAGCATCTGGCTGAGGTTGCGGCTGCTGGTCGTCCCGCTCCCGCCCCGCGTCGGCTGGGTCGGCGGCGCCTGCAGCAGCAGCGTCTCCAGGTTGGACAGCTCGATGTAGCCGAGGTTGTCGGGGTCGAGCTCCTCCATGATGAGCCGGGCGTACTCTTCTGTGCGCTCCGTGATCTTCTTGAGGTCGTTGGCGGCGGCGCTGAGCCCGATGATCTGCCCGACCTCCGCCTCGGTGATCCTGCCGTCGGCGTCCTTGTCCACCATGTCGAAGAAGGTCTGCAGGCGGCTGTCGAAGCTGGTGTCGGAGATCTGGTCCCAGAACTCGAGCAGCTCCGCCTTGCTGATGCTGTCCCCGGAGATGTCCCGGCGCCGGGCCAGCGCGTCGAACAGCTCGCCGGCGAAGGCGAGCTCCTTCATCCCGATGCACTTGCCGAACTTGGAGCGGTGGAGGAGTCCGCCGTTCTCGGCGAGCTCGTCGAAGCGCTTCTCGACGGCGGGCCAGCCGTCGGGCTTGCTGATGAACTTGAGCCCCTTGAGCGCGTGCGCGGCGGCGGACTTGGACCGGTCGATGCGGCTGGGGCGGCGCTTGACGGACGCGATTTTTCGGAGCTCCTGCGACACCTGCTTGATCCTTGTCGACGCGTTCCGGAGCACGCCGCCGCCATGGGTGCCCCTGCCGGCGTACGAGGAGGAGCGCGTCTCCAGCGCCCGCGCCAGCAGCGTGACGTCCGGGTCCTCCTCGCCGCCGGCCGCCGGCTTGACGCTGTGCACCGCCACCGAGTCGTCCCGCACGTCGAGGGTGACCTCCACGTAGTCGTTGTCGTCGTCGTCGCCCTGGTGGTGGTTCCCGCGGCCGCCAGCGCGCAGCGGCGCGGACACGGAGTCCGCGAACCGCGCGCTCTTCCGCGTGGCGGAGCGCTTCCCCACCAGCGGCCCGCTGTGCGGCACGACCCTCTCGCCGCCCGCCTGCACGATGTCCCCCGCCCCGCCGCCCCCGTGGTTATGCATGACCGGCGGCCGGCTCTCGCTACCCCGCCCCCAGCAAAGTCAACCGGCGAACAGAAACCTCCAAGATGCGCAGCCAGGAATGAGCGCGCCGCGGAGGCTGGATATAATGGACGTACTCGCGGCCGGAGACCTCGTCGTGATTAGACTCACGTAGTAGGTGTGGAGGAGGAGATGGCAATGAGACCACGCACCGGAGCGCCAAGTAAGCAGTTCAATCGCAGCTAGCCGGGAGGGAGAGAGGGACTGTTTCAGCGCGGCGCAAAGTCTCGCGAAATTTATGTCGAAAAATTGAAGTCTGGTGAAATTCTCCGGCGACCCTTTCAGCCGGGCAACTCACCTACTCCGACCTACGCTACGCAGGCGGCGCGGCGTGCCCTCTTGGTCAGAACAAACAAAAGGTCGCTTGACCGCGACCGCGCCGCGCTTGCTCCAACGGCCGCATGCAGATGCACGCACGCACGCGGTTTACGTACACGCACCAGGGGCTGGAGGTTGGAACAGGTCTCTACTCGCTGCTTAGCATTTATTGAGCATGAAACGACGCCGTAGCCTCTCGGTCGATGCATAGATGCGACGAGAATGGTTCCCTTTTTGGCGCTGAAACTCTTGTCTTGCTCGAAATGAAAGAAATCGGTGCACGCAACCGTGAAACTTTTAGTTTGCAGAAGATAATTAACGCGCAGTAGGTGTAGCAAAAAGAAAACAATGGTTCAAGTTGTTAGAAACATTAGAAACACACCCAGAAAAAAAGGTGTTAGTAAAGTTTTGAATTCCGAAAGAAAAGAAAAGAAAAGAAGAGCTCGTGGAGCACTGAAATTTCAGCTGCCGGAGTAATCAGAAAATACCCGGAGGTTACCAAGCGATTTCTTGTTTGAATGAACTTTTGACTCGCGCAAAATTCACTTAAGATCCAAAAATATCAACAACGGAAAGTTGCCTCGTAATGCGGTTTCTCGTGAGGTATCAAAGATTCGTGGTTACCGGGCGATAACCGAATTTTCCGCCCGGTAACCAAATCACTCGTTAGGCAATCTCCAACGCCTACCGTCAAACCACCTGCAACCGTCGGAACCGCTCGGTTTGAACGTGGTGTGTCCTCTAACGTGAGCCTGTATACGTCCGATGAGTGGTCCGGACGCATTTTTCCTCGTAAAATGGAGACAAACTAGGTGGGGTTTCATTGGAGTCCGGACATTAGCCACGCAGGACTCCGACACCCCCGGCCCACTGAATCCTCCCTCCTGGTCCTATTTTTCCCAATCTGCCCCTTCTCCCCCCCCCCCTTGCTCTGCACCCCC